CTCGGACTACTGGGACTGCAAGAAGTGCGTCTTGTAACACACCAACACACAAAATACTGAAAGGTCAGATTCCAAATTTGTGCAATAAAATTACAACATACTGGAATGAGAGATATGGTAGGAAATGTAAAATAAATAAAGTGGAAAGCATGAATGCTGTAACCACAATTAAAGAACACTGTAAATATCAGCCCCATGACTCTCTAACTTCCTGCCAACAACTACAGTATGTATAAGAAATATAGTTGAATGAGAGTGGAAGCTTTCAAGAGGAAATTTGACCAGAAACTACAGTACCAGAGTTACTGGATCTGGCTGACTGTAATGGCTATGTGGAGCCTGCCAGCAGCAAGTACAAAGAGTACACAGACCAGGCAGTCACACGAGAAGGTTGACACTTTCACGTGTCAACCTGAAGGAGTATGTTGAGATTTTCAAGGCCAGGCTGCAGAAGGAGAGAGCTCAAGATTATTCATAGGTAGCCCTCAGACCTCTCCATCCAGCTGGACATCTCCCCCCATCCCCAGACTCCCCCATGCAGTAACCAGCTGGACATCTCCCCCCATCCCCAGACTCCCCCATGCAGTAACCAGCTGGACATCTCCCCCCATCCCCAGACTCCCCCATGCAGTAACCAGCTGGACATCTCCTCCCATCCCCAGACTCCCCCATGCAGTAACCAGCTGGACATCTCCTCCCATCCCCAGACTCCCCCATGCAGTAACCAGCTGGACCTCTCCCCCCATCCCCAGACTCCCCCATGCAGTAACCAGCTGGACCTCTCCTCCCATCCCCAGACTCCCCCATGCAGTAACCAGCTGGACATCTCCTCCCATCCCCAGACTCCCCCATGCAGTAACCAGCTGCACCTCTCCTCCTGTCCCCAGACTCCCCCATGCAGTAACCAGCTGCACCTCTTCCCCCATCCCCAGACTCCCCCATGCAGTAACCAGCTGCACCTCTTCCCCCATCCCCAGACTCCCACATGCAGTAACCAGCTGGACATCTCCCATCCTCCAGATCTCCTCCCTCACACATCTTCCTCCTTTCCCTGTATAGATAACATCCAGACGCTCTACCACTGGGCCATGGAAGCTCTAAAAAGCAAGGAAACTTTAACAAACCTGCATTATGAACTTTGTTAGAGTATTACTGAGACAATCAATGACTTGCTCTTTCATACATCCGTCAAACTGTAATTCACAGTGACGTGAATTTAAACACCTCGTCCATCTATGTCGATGTGCTGGAAATCTTCTTGTGTTTTTAACAATACAAGACTCCATTGGTCATCTTGGTTTGGAGGTGGGTACATTATTGGAGGCAGTTTGTGTGTTGATGCATTCATTCACTTTATCAACTGGATTCACCTGGATTTTGTAGTAATGGTACAGTACTGCATATTAAGAGGTGTGAGGCTATTTTATAAAACTTAATCTGTACAATGACAGCTTCTTGAGGTTATCTTGAGATGATTTCGGGGCTTTTTAGTGTCCCCGCGGCCCGGTCCTCGACCAGGCCTCCACCCCCAGGAAGCAGCCCGTGACAGCTGACTAACACCCAGGTACCTATTTACTGCTAGGTAACAGGGGCATTCAGGGTGAAAGAAACTTTTGCCCATTTGTTTCTGCCTTGTGCGGGAATCGAACCCGCGCCACAGAATTACGAGTCCTGCGCGCTATCCACCAGGCTACGAGGCCCCCTAGATTATATCACCCTATTGCCATGAAATGCCTCCTTTATTTATGGATGAGTTAAAGTCTGCTGATGGCATTGGCTTATCCATTATTTTTTCTTATAAAGGTATACCTTCGTGCTATCTTTCTCCAAAAGTGAGTATTTTGTCTCCCAAATTTTATGGGATAGTGTATGCTTCAAAACACGTTTTGTGTGTCAACAATCATTTGTTTATGTAGTTGACTCTTGAAGTGATTTTGTGGCCCAGGAATCTTTCACTCCTTCACATCCAGTAGTCATGAGATCCAACAATCATTGTACCTCATTTTTTATTTTGATTTATATGTACAAGAGTTCTTATTTTCTTGAAAAGCCACTAGCACTCATAGCATTTCAGGCAGGTCCTTAATTCTAATTTTCCCTGAAATACGATCCGCCAAATCGTTTAACAACCAGGTACCCATTTACTGCTGGGTAAACAGAGGTTACAGTTACGGAATGGCAACCCTCCCTGACCAGGATATGAACCCGGGCCAAATCTCTCGTGAAGTGCAGGGAGAGTGTCTTACCACTGCGCCACGGGAACTGCATGAGTCATCGTTAGCGGTTTAGGGCACCAAGAGTTGTGTTGGGTTCTCAGCCATATTGGTGTTAGCACTAATGACACTGCAGTTCCAATTTCGAAAGAGGCCATTTTTGCCTGTTGCACATCTCAAAAGTGAATTCCTTATTCTGATTTATAAACTCCTTCATAACTCAATCTGCAACTGTTGGATAGATGGTTGCTAGATATTTATTATCAAATGTGAGTTACATACTGGCCAAATGCAATTAATGCCTGAGCATTTACTGTTGAGAACTGCATTGTCCTGCTAACAATCTTGCATCTCCTAGAATGTCCTAACTTTTCAAACTATCAGAGATTTTGCTTTCCCAGTGTATTGTGTTCCTCAATAAAATCCTCGATGAACGAAATTCCTTTGACGTCACTAGTTAGATTGGCAACTCGAATGATATCTATAAACTTTTTAAATATTGTGTGACTGCTGGTGGTGTATAGCCTTTAAGGGCTTGGCACTTCCTCTTGATAATATCTTTCTTTCAAGATCTCTCTCACCCTCCTACTCTTTGTTTCATACATTGTTGCACTCTTCCCTTCAACAATACTGGTCATCTCTCTCTACCATGTGGAGCCTTTGTTTACTCAACACTCGTGCACTCTTCCCTTCAACAATACTGGTCATCTCTCTCTACCATGTGGAGCCTTTGTTTACTCAACACTCGTGCACTCTTCCCTTCAACAATACTGGTCATCTCTCTCTACCATGTGGAGCCTTTGTTTACTCAACACTCGTGCACCTTCCCTTCAACAATACTGGTCATCTCCCTTTACCATGTGGAGCCTTTGTTTACTGAACACTCATTAAACGCCGTTCAGGCATTGTACTAACTTGTCCTGTAGTGCACTGATCACCACAGTCGTCACAACTAGAAGCACCTGGGTCTTCCTGTCTTCCTTCCTGCAGGAAGATAGAGATGTTTGGCCATGTTACCTTTCACCTGCTGATACTGTTCACTTAGCAGTAAATAGGTTCCTGGGAGTCAGGCAACTGTTGTGGGTTGCATCCTGGGCAACATCAGTAGTTGGCCTTATCCAACCTTGATAAGCCTAACAATCTTTTTGACTCCAACTATGGGTAACCTATCACTTCAATGTATGATCCATGTGATATGTAAACATATCACTTCATCCATTCCATAACTCATAATATCATTCCCTCACCCATTTAAATCTTACCGCATCTCTCATACATCTCCCATTTCATTACATAATACTGTCATGTTATGGCACTATACTCATCCTTCACACGTAAAGCAGTTGCTTTTCTAAAATAAAAACAAAATCAATTGTGTGTACTTGTGAGCGTACTACCCCTTGCTATACCTAAGTTTTGGATCGAGTGGTATGTATTACTGCGTATAAATTTATGCATCCATGGAATGAAGGGAAGCCGGTCGGCCGAGCATACAGCATGCTGGACTTGTGATCCTGTGGTCCCGGGTTCGATCCCAGGCGCCAGCGAGAAACAATGGGCAGAGTTTCTTTCACCCTATGCCTCTGTTACCTAGCAGTAAAATAGGTACCTGGGTGTTAGTCAGCTGTCACAGGCTGCTTCCTGGGGGTGGAGGCCTGGTTGAGGACCAGACCGCGGGGACACTAAAGCCCCGAAATCATCTCAAGATAACCTCAAGATAACCTCGAGTATTTTTCAGTACATATATGGTGTGGCGGTGTTGTATGTTGGGGGTTTTAATCGACTTGTGGCCTGGTAGCAACTGTCAACCATGGGATGTCTAATACTTCCAGGTAACATACAATATACACATTCCTGCTCTCAAGACTGAAAACATAATACTAGGAACAGCAGCCTTCTCTTATCTTGAGGTTATCTTGAGATGATTTCGGGGCTTTTTAGTGTCCCCGCGGCCCGGTCCTCGACCAGGCCTCCACCCCCAGGAAGCAGCCCGTGACAGCTGACTAACTCCAGGTACCTATTTACTGCTAGGTAACAGGGGCATTCAGGGTGAAAGAAACTTTGCCCATTTGTTTCTGCCTCGTGCGGGAATCGAACCCGCGCCACAGAATTACGAGTCCTGCGCGCTATCCACCAGGCTACGAGGCCCCTTAAAGGCCTTAGTTGTAATAGCGGAGAAAAGATTGAGCTATCTGCCCACGCTCCTCCCAGGCGAGGTCATCGTGGTGGTGTTCAACAGCACCTCCCTTCCATTGTAGGCTGTGGTGGTTTTCAGCAACTCTCTACCATCCATCTTATCGGGACAGAATGTGGTGAAGTTGAACAGTACTTCCACCTTCCTGGGTTTAGTTACTTTGTTGTTTTGGAGTTGAGCAGCCCTACCTCTTCCCTGTCATCCCCTCCTGGATAGTCATGATGGTAGTAGTGGTAATGTTGTGCAGCCCTTTTCCCTCTCTCCCTCCCAGGCCAGATTGTGAAGTTGAGCATCCCCAATATATCTCATGGGAGATTAGTGGCAGTTTTCACCAATTCCCTCGCCCCTTTCCCCTTCCTAATGTTGACCAAGTCTCCCCTCTTGAGTTTTGCTGTTTGTGGTGGTGAGAGCAGCTTCCCCTTTCCTGGGCCAAATAGTGTTGACTCCCCTTGCTTCTGGGCCAGATTATAGTGTAGACCAACCCCCCACCCCCCTTCTGGGCCAGGTCGTGTTGGCCACCCTGCAAACGGAGCCAGACTGAGCAGCAGCAGTTGAGTGATAAGTGTTCGTGCTGCGGCCTAAGGGACACCAACCTGGCAAGAAGACCTCGTATTTAAGTTTTGTGACGACCTCTGAGACGAAGCCAGGGTCAGCATTGGCAAAAAAGGGTACGGACGCCACCAAAGATCGGCAGTTGAAATTGATAACGTCCTGCAGGTTGCAACAGATAAGACAAGGGGTCAGGAACCGATCCATGAGTTAGTCGGGAAATTTTGATTGCTATAAAATATTTCACGGTGGGGGGAAACAGGTAATCAGTAATGACGTGACCACAAGTAAATGCTATTTTTGTGCCAACTTGAACATGATCCGGTACTTTACTGATTACTTCAAGACATAACAAGCTCATTCCTCTTCAAGGATTCACTTCCTTAATATGGATTTTTAAGTTATCAGCATTGCTAGCAGTTAAGAAAAATAGTAAACTTTCAATATCTTTAAGCACTTACAAGACTGCAGGATTGTACAAATTGTGACAGAAAATGTGAGAAGTGAGTGTAGGAAAAATCATGGCGAGGAAGCAGATAATTATTAGCAATATCTGTAGTAAAAAGGGAGACGTGAAATAAGGGCAAAAGCAGCCTAGGCGGCCAAGGAGACAGGCCGAACCCGGGCCCAGCTGGCCGAGAGAGCAGGCCGAACCCAGGTCCAACTGGCCAAGAAGGCAAGCCGGACCCAGACCCAGCTGGCTGAGGGGCAGGTCGAACCCGGGCCCAGCTTAGGGTCTCTCCATGGAACAGGAATATTAGCAGTAGATTAAAAGTATATTCATATTCAGTGTAGATTGAAAAGGGAATAAAATATTATTAAAATCACAACAAAATATGCACACAATAAAATATATAATATAAATAAAACAGCCAGTTAACCCCCAAAAAACTTATGTAATATTTGGGATTATCAAGAATCACATTGGCCAAAAGAGATATAGATAATTGAATAACTTGCTAACAAAAAATATATGAAAGGGATCGAGCTTACAGCCTAGTACAAAACTGGTCGGCACAACACAGGATGGAGAAGACAATCACATTGACCCTGTTGTTAAGCTGACCTGTTATACTCAAATTCTATGTCAGTTGAAATGTAACCAATCGCAGGCAAGTAGGCCTCTGACGTCATGCCAGACAGAGGAGCATCAGCGATGCTCCCACAGCCTCAGTCCTCACAGACTCAGAGTAGAAGACCTCGGCTAGGCAGATATATATACCTTGCTATCTCAGTCAATAAATATATACAGAAGCGACTACTGTGTCTACCTTCTACCCGAACAAGGCAAACGAATAGACCTGTCGATGGTGTGCCGACCACCTTCTCTAGGCTGCTCTGTCCTCAGTGACAGACAGTATACAACATTCAATAGTTACAAGACGGTCCTTTGATTCACCTCTCGTTGATTTACAATTCCAATAAATATATATATTTTTTACTTTTTTTGTTACAATTTGAATGCAAATAATTTGCAAATAATTGAATGCAATTTTTGTCCTTGTCAAAAATTTGCGGAGGGAAGTCAGGACTTATTTTATAAGAATACTGTCAACACGAGAACCCCTCTTAATAAATAATGCCAGACTTGCTATCAGAAAATTCCTTATAACAAATAATTATGATATGATGCCAAGTATTTGACGAGGAAGTTCAAGATGTTTAACATGGGTCATATAACTAAAAAATATTAAACAAAAGTTTTATAAATATACAAAGTTGGTTATGTCAGTGATGAAGCTGCACTAACGAAGCTGTATTGATGAAGCACACAAGCTTCGTCAGCAGCAACAGTGACACATTATGTTCATGCTAAAGAAATGACAGCTGGGGCTTCTTCCCTAACTCAGGTGGGTGGGTGGGTGGGTGGGTCATGGGTAAGGAGCAACTTTTGACTGTGTAGGAAAATGGTTTAATGGGTTAAACTGATGCATATGTACAGGTGTTTTACACATGTGTGGTCACTGTTAAATGTTATTACTGTGACACCTGTATGAATGTTATTACTGTGACACCTGTATGAATGTTGTTACTGTGACACCTGTATGAATGTCGTTACTGTGACACCTGTATGAATGTTATTACTGTGACACCTGTATGAATGTTACTACTGTGACACCTGTATGAATGTTATTACTGTGACACCTGTATGAATGTTATTACTGTGACACCTGTATGAATGTTATTACTGTGACACCTGTATGAATGTTATTACTGTGACACCTGTATGAATGTTATTACTGTGACACCTGTATGAATGTTATTACTGTGACACCTGTATGAATGTTGTTACTGTGACACCCTGTATGAATGTTATTACTGTGACACCTGTATGAATGTTATTACTGTGACACCTGTATGAATGTTGTTACTGTGACACCTGTATGAATGTTATTACTGTGACACCTGTATGAATGTTATTACTGTGACACAAGCATGATCGCTTAAGATTACAAGAAAATAATCCTGCTTGGCAAAACGGGGAAGTTTCTGTAGGAAGGAAACGAGTGACTATAGGTTTACGCTAGGCTGCGAGCGCACTTCCCTCCTGTACATAAGCGGTCAGCGCGAGTTACAATCTCCGCCGAGAGCCCAGACACACACTTCAAGATGGTACTCGACCAAAGACCACATTCACTACAAACATCTACCATCTATGGGCTACTCATGCCAGTGTCATACCCCTTGCTGTGGCTTAATCTTGATCAACCAATCAATCAATCAATCAATCATGACCTGTAATCTCGCAGCCGCTGCCTGCACAACGCACAGCTCACCCACCTCCCAGGTTTCACTGCGTCATCTCCGATATCTCTCCTTTGTAGTGTGTGGGACTCTGCTGGTCTCCTCCGTGAGATGTGCTTTTTTTTTTTTTTTTTTTGAGATATATACAAGAGTTGTTACATTCTTGTAGAGCCACTAGTACACGTAGCGTTTCGGGCAAGTCCTTAATCCTATGGTCCCTGGAATACGATCCCCTGCCGCGAAGAATCGTTTTTTCATCCAAGTACACATTTTACTGTTGCGTTAAACAGAGGCTACAGTTAAGGAATTGCGCCCAGTAAATCCTCCCCGGCCAGGATACGAACCCATGACATAGCGCTCGCGGAACACCAGGCGAGTGTCTTACCACTACACCACGGAGACTGACAGTGATGAATTGTTTTAATTGCATGGTGCCGCAGTTGCCACTTACCATACATGAACTATTTGGCTACAATTCCCATTTCATTAGTGTACCTTGCTTACAGTTTAGGGAACTTGGGAAATTAACCAGATACACACGGCTTCCTTAACTGGGTGCTAACATGTTGTAAACGGGTAACGCTGGGGAGGGGTAAGGTGGTAGAAATAGCCTAAGCTACTCTATCTCTTTGAGATGTATTTTGTTGTCTAAATAAACGTACTTGAACAAGTAACTGGTTAATCGCCTACGTTACCCTTGTACACACCTAGTTACACTGTTATTCTTATTGGCCGCTGCCTCTACATTACTAATTGCACTTGTTATATGTTTATCAGTTACAACTCATTCATTCTCTTATATCACTTTACATTCATATCCACTTCTGTCAGTATAGCTTAGTATTATAGCTTAGTTAACTTCTGTGACTCAATTTGCTTATAATAATAATAATAATGTTTATTTAAGGAAATATGTACGTACGTACGTACATAGATACATACAAAAGGAGTTACAAGAAGGATGTTAGATTTCTAGATAGATAGAAGTTAATTAACCACTGCACTGCGCCAAACAACAAATGTCGTTTTAAGAGTTGTGCATCTTTTTTACTTAGGCTATATTTTAATGTTTTTAATGTTTTCATCACTCATTGTGTTTTGAAATGAAAATAGTTAAATTTGAAAACATTTTGATATTAACTTTACCTGACCATTTATAAAAACAACTAAAATATGTCCTTATCATTTGCACTATGAAGGTTTTTCCAAAAACAGGTGCGCGGTGCAGGGGTTAAACTATAAGTTACTTGTAAAATAATGATTAATAAATTAGTCCGATTCCAAACGAATTTCCTTCCTAGCACAGAAATGTAAGAACTCGTGTATAATATTTTTGTTATTACTGTGACACTGTGTGATCACTGTTAATGTTATTACTGTGACACATGGCAGGATGTGCAGAATACCCCCGTTGAAAAGCAGAGGTGCAACATGTACTCTAAGAGAGAACTCTATCAACATCAGAGGCCCGAGACTGTTCAACACGCTTCTGCTACACACAAGGGGCATAACTGGCAATCCCCTCACAGTGTTCAAGAGAGAACTGGATAAGCACCTCCAAAGGATACCTGATCAACCAGGCTGTGACTCATACGTCAGGCTGCGAGCAGCCGCGTCCAACAGCCTGGTTGATCAGTCCAGCAACCAGGAGGCCTGGTCGACGACCGGGCTGCGGGGACGCTAAGCCCCGGAAGCACCTCAAGGTACCTCAAGGTAGGACACTGGGTGGTCACTGTTAATGTTATTACTGTGACATTGTGTGGTCACTTGTTATTACTGTAACACTGTGTGGTCACTGTTAATGTTATTACTGTGACACTGTAATTACCTAAGTGTAGTTACAGGATGAGAGCTACGCTCGTGGTGTCCCGTCTTCCCAGCACTCTTTGTCATATAATGCTTTAAAACTACTGACGGTCTTGGCCTCCACCACCTTCTCACCTTACTTGTTCCAACCGTCTACCACTCTGTTTACAGAAGTGAATTTTCTTATATTTCTCTGGCAGCATTGTTTCGTTAGTTTAAATCTATGACCTCTTGTTCTTGACGTTCCGGGTCTCAGGAATTCTTCCCTATCAATTTTATCGATTCCTGTTACTATTTTGAACGTAGTGATCATATTGCCTCTTTTTCTTCTATCTTCTAGTTTTTGCATATTTAATGCCTCTAATCTCTCCTCGTAGCTCTTGTCCTTCAGTTCTGGGAGCCACTTAGTGGCATGTCGTTGCACCTTTTCCAGTTTGTTGATGTACTTCTTAAGATATGGGCACCATACAACTGCTGCATATTCTAGCTTTGGTCTAACAAAAGTCGTGAACAATTTCTTTAGTATTTCTCCATCCATGTATTTAAAAGCAATTCTGAGGTTAGAAAGTGTAGCATAGGCTCCTCGCACAATGTTCTTAATGTGGTCCTCAGGTGACAGTTTTCTATCTAGAACCACCCCTAGATCCCTTTCTTTGTCAGACTTCTTTAAAAATTTCTCACATAATTTATAGGTTGTGTGGGGTCTATGTTCTCCAATTCCACATTCCATAACATGGCATTTCTTCACATTAAATTCCATTTGCCAAGTGTTACTCCATATACTTATTTTGTCCAGGTCTTCTTGAAGGGCATGACAATCATCTAGGTTTCTTATCTTCCCTATTATCTTAGCATCATCAGCAAACATGTTCATATAATTCTGTATTCCCACTGGTAGATCGTTTATGTAGACAATGAACATTACCGGTGCAAGAACTGAATCCTGTGGTACTTCACTCGTAACATTCCTCCAATCAGATACCTTGCCTCTGATTACTTTCCTCATTTTTCTGTCAGGAAATTTTTCATCCATGTTAGGAGCTTACCTGTCACCCCCTCCAATATGTTACAGTTTCCAGAACAACCTCTTATGGGAAACTCTGTCGAAAGCCTTTTTTAGGTCCAGATAGATGCAGTCAACCCAACCATCTCTTTCCTGTAAAATCTCTGTGGCTCAGTCATAGAAACTGAGTAAATTCGATTCAAAGGATCTTCCAGATCGAAAACCATACTCTCTGTCTGATATTATATCGTTTTTCTCCAGGTGTTTTACCCATTTAGTTTTAATTATTTTTTCCAATATTTTGACTATTACACTTGTCAATGATACAGGTCTATAATTAAGGGGGGGGGGGGGATCTTCCCTGCTTCCACTTTTGTAGATTGGAACTATGTTAGCCTTTTTCCACACATCAGCTACAACTCCTGTAAACAGGGATGCCTGAAAAATCTATTGAAGTGGAATGCTGAGCTCAGGTGCACATTCTCTCAGAACCCATGGTGAAACTCCATCTGGACCAACTACTTTGTTACTTAGCTCCTTTAGCATTTTTTCCACTTCGTCTCTAGACACCTCTATGTGCTCTATGTTGTTCTCTGGAATTCTTATTGTGTCTGGTTCCCCTGAAGATTTTATTTTGTACAAACACACTTTGGAACTTTTCGTTTAATGTTTCACACATTACCTCTTCATTTTCCGTGAATCTATTTCCCATTTTCAATCTCTGAATATTATCCTTTACCTGCAATTTGTTGTTTATGAATTTATAGAATAGACCTGCTTCTGTTTTACATTTGTCTGCAATCCCTTTTCAAAATTTCTTTCCTCTCCTGAAGTCAGGTTTTTCAACTGCTTCAACCCTCCTTATTTTCTTCCAGATTATAATGCATTGCATACTTTATTCCCAAAAGACATGGTCACTTTTACCCAAGGGAGGAAGGTACTGAATGTCAAATATCTCTTTCTCCTTCCTGGTAAATATCAAATCTAGCATGGAGGGAACATCCCCTTCCCTCATCCTCGTAGCTTGTTTAACATGTTGATACAAGAATGTTTCCAGGATGAGGTCTACAAATCTACAGGTCCAAAAATCTTCTGTTTTAGCTTCATATGCTTCCCAGTCTATGGATTTCAAGTTGAATTCGCCGACTCTCAACAGTCGTGATCTATCGTTATCCGCTCTCGCTATAATCTCTCTCATTATTGTTATAAGACCTCGTTTACTATCTAGCGCCTCCTTTGACCATGTGCTGCTTGGCGGTGGACTATATGCATTTATGATCATTAGTTTATCATTCTCATGGCAGATCTCTAGTGCTATTATGTCAACTTCCTGTGGATTGGCAGTCATTATTTCGTTCACATTTAGGTGTTCTTTCACCAGTACAGCAATGCCACCGCCTTGCTGTAATGTTTCACCCACTTACTACAAATACAAATAATCGCCAACAGAACCTAAACACCTAATCTAACCTATGCCTATATATGCTCAATATGCTAATATATTATAATATTAATTTATATTTGAGAAAATTCCTATTTTGAATGAACAGCATGTAAAAATTTATGAATGCATCTGCGGGGTCGACCGCTGGATGTAATGGACTTGAGTCGAGGGCGGGTTATTGACTAGGCTAGGAGACAAATCTAATATTCATATTACGGAAATGGTATGGAAAAGAATTGCTGACAGGAACCTCGGACACTGTGAGAACTCACGGACAAATACTGCACAAAAGAATACAACAAGCATAAGATCACATATTGAATTGTACATTAAAATAGGGAATGAATTGAAAGAAAATAAATAACAAAATGGGCGACAGTTAGCCGAAGGATGATCGTGAACTGTACACTTTCACATCATGAAAAGTTTTATATACGTGAAAGGTTCCAGTGTTTGCTGAAGTTTAAATAAGAGAGAGAAGTGGTGTTGACTACTTTCCCGCCCCGCCCCAGGCACATGGAGGGAAGATGATTAACACATCATACCAGTGGATGTGTATTACTGTATAAGTTTTTAAGAAGACATGAGAGAAGTGTAGTGGGTTGTAGACATGACTTAGTATGTAGTGTGGGTGGTAGACACGACCTGTTGTGTGGTAGACATGATCCAGTGTGCGATATAGGTGATAAACATGACCGGATGTGTGCATTAGATATGACCTAGTATGTAGTGTGGGCGGTAAACATGACCTGGCGTGAAGTGTGGGAAGGGGGAAGGATGAGTTATTATGGAAGCTAAAGGTTGTGGCAGGAGTGAGCTGCAGAACGTACCTCGCGGAGCTTCTCGGACAGCTCGCCCAGGATCATCTCCTCGTCGAAGAACTTGCCCTGGTAACGGTGCTCAAAGTACTCGGTGATCCTTGTTCTCAGCTCCCGGGGCAGCTTGCGGTAGGCCATGTACTCCTCCACCTGCTTCAGCTGTAACCCAAACACACACGCTCATGTACACCTCTCTCGGTGGGGTGTAGGGGTGAGGTTCTATGGGGGGAGTGAGGTGTAGGGTGAGGTTCTATGGGGAGAGGGGTGTAGGGTGAGGTTCTATGATGGGGGAGGGGGTAGTGGCAGGGGTTTGGTGGTCTGGTATGGGTACAGAGGGGAAGAAAAGACAGACACTGGGTGGGGGGGGAGGGGGTATCTGGGCACGCACACTAAGTTAATACAGTATTCACTCTAAATGCCTGCTTTCCTGCCCTCATGCGTGCACATGGATGCACATGCACGCATACACACACACCTGCGCGCGCACACACACACACACGCCCGCACCCACATGTGCACACACACACACATTCTTTCTACATGACATGACATGACATTCTATATGAATTCTACATGACATTCTTGTATCAACACATCAAGCAGGCCACAAGACTGAGGGAAGTAGATGTACCGTCAGTACTGGATCTAGTATTCACCAGGAAAGAAGAAGAGATATTTGACATCCAGTACCTTCCTCCCTTGGGAAAGAGTGATCACATCCTGTTAGACATTAAATATGCTTTAAAATATCATCTAGAAGAAAATGGGGACATTGAAACAGGTGATAAACTCGATTTCAAGAGAGGTCACTTTGGGGAACTTCAAAAAAATTTATGAGTGTAATTGGACAGACTTGTTGCTAGGCAGGGAAGTAAATGAACTGTATGCCAAATTTTGCCAAATATACGATGAAGGTATACAAACATTCATACCAAAACAGAGATGCAGGGCCAGAAAACAGGATTGGTTCAGCAGACATTGCGAGAGGGCCAGAGACCAAAAGACACAAAAATGGAGTCAATATAGGAAGAAGCCAAATCCCCAAACATACCAGCGATATAAAGATGCGAGAAACAACTAAACGGCAGTACGGAGAGAGGCAGAAAGAAATTTTGAAAAAGGGATAGCAGATAAATGTAAAACAGAACCGGGCCTATTCTACAAATTCATAAACAACAAATTGCAGGTAAAGAATAATATCCAGAGGTTGAAAATGGGAAACAGATTCACGGAAAATGAAAAGGAAATGTGTGAAACATTAAACGCAAAGTTCCAAAGTGTGTTTGTACAAAATGAACTCTTCAGAGAACCAGACACAATAAGAATTCCAGAGAACAACATAGAGCGTATAGAGGTGTCTAGAGATGAAGTGGAAAATATGCTAAAGGAGCTAAGTAAGAACAAAGCAGTTGGCCCAGATGGAGTTTCACCATGGGTTCTGAGAGAATGTGCATCTGAGCTCAGCATTCCACTTAACCTGATCTTTCAGGCATCCCTGTGTACAGGAATCGTAGCAGACGTGTGGAAACAGGCTAACATAGTTCCAATCTACAAAAGTGGCAGCAGGGAAGACCCCCTCAATTATAGACCTGTATCATTGACAAGTGTAATAGTGAAAGTATTGGAAAAGCTAATCAAAACTAAATGGGTAGAACACCTGGAGAGAAATGATATAATATCAGACAGAGAGTATGGTTTTCGATCTGGAAGATCCTTTGAATCGAATTTACTCAGTTTCTATGATCGAGCCACAGAGATTTTACAGGAAAGAGATGGTTGGGTTGACTGCATCTATCTGGACCTTAAAAAAGGCTTTCGACAGAGTTCCACATAAGAGGTTGTTCAGGAAACTGGAAAATATTGGAGGGGTGAAAGGTAAGCTTCTAACATGGATGAAAAATATTCTGATTGATAGAAAAATGAGGACAATAATCAGAGGCAATGTATCGGACTGGAGAAAGTCAGAAGTGGAGTACCACAGGGTTCAGTTCTTGCACCGGTGATGTTCATTGTCTACATAAATGATCTACCAGTTGGTATACAGAATTATATGAACATGTTTGCTGATGATGCTAAGATAATAGGAAGGATAAGAAACTTAGATGATTGTCATGCCCTTCAAGAAGACCTGGACAAAATAAGTATATGGAGCAACACTTGGCAAATGGAATTTAATGTGAATAAATGTCATATTATGGAATGTGGAATAGGAGAACATAGACCCCCACACAACCTATAAATTATGTGAGAAATCTTTAAAGAATTCTGATAAAGAAAGAGATCTAGGGGTGGTTCTAGATAGAAAACTATCACCTGAGGACCACATAAAGAATATTATGCGAGGAGCCTATGCTATGCTTTCTAACTTTAGAATTGCTTTTAAATACATGGATGGCGATATACTAAAGAAATTGTTCACGACTTTTGTTAGGCCAAAGCTAGAATATACAGCTGTTGTATGGTGCCCATATCTTAAGAAGTACATTAACAAACTGGAAAAGGTGCAAAGACAGCCACTAAGTGGCTCCCAGAACTGAAGGGCAAGAGCTACGAGGAGAGGTTAGAGGCATTAAATATGCCAAAACTAGAAGACAGAAGAAAAAGAGGTGATATGATCATTACGTAAAAAATAGTAACAGGAATTGATAAAATTGGTAAGGAAGATTTCCTGAGACCTGGAAGTTCAAGAACAAGAGGTCGTAGATTTAAACTAACTAAAGAAAGATGCCGAAGAAATATAAGAAAATTCACTTTCGCAAACAGAGTGGTAGACTGTTGGAACAAGTTAAGTGAGAAGGTGGTGGAGGCCAAGACCGTCAGTAGTTTCAAAGCGTTATATGACAGAGTGCTGGGTAGATGGGACACCACGAGCGTAGTTCTCATCTTGTAACTACACTTAGGTAATTACACTTTGGAAATTACACACAAGCACTCATTACACACACAAAGGCTGAAGGAGCTGAACCTCACAACCCTGGAAAACAGAAGAGTAAGGGAAGATATGATAAGCACCTACAAAATTATCAGGGGAATTGACAGGGTGGACAAAGACAAACTCTTCAGCACGGGTGGAACACGAACAAGGGGACACAGATGGAAACTTAGTACCCAAATGAGCCACAGAGAGATTAGAAAGAATTTTTTCAGTGTCAGAGTAGTTAGTAAATGGAATGCACTAGAAAGTGATGTGGTGGAGGCTGACTCAATACACAGTTTCAAAGGTAGATATGAAAGAGCCCAATAGGCTCAGGAACCTGTACACCTGTTGATTGACAGTTGAGAGGTGGGCCTAAAGAGCCAGAGCTTAACCCCTGAAAGCACAACTAGGTGAGTACACACACCCATATGCTCGCACACACGAACGTAAGACAAAACACGCACTGAAGAACAAAATAACACACTACGAACCACACACAACATGCTGAAGAACAATCATGATTTCTCGTTCAAACCTGTTAAGTTCTGGAGAGGAACACTCTCCATACATACATGCCGCTTAGTTAATACATAATGCATATTATATAATGCATATTACATAATACACAGTACATGATACATAAAATATAATATATAACTATATTACATAATGCATATTATAAAATACATATTACATAATAAACAGTTCATATTACATAATGCACAGTACATATGTATTACAAAATACATATAATACATATTACGAAATATACATTACATAATACATATTAAAAATACAAATTACAAAATATATATTACATAATTCTCAGTACATAATGCATATTACATAATACATATTACATAATGCATATTACATGATACACAATGTATATTACATATTACATAACTACATAAAATATTCATTTTAACAACCTGTTTAACTACTCTGTTGTTCCTTAAGAGCTCTATCACATTGTTGTTGTTTACAGTACAATAATTGAACATAATATCAGACACCAAAAGCAACACACATTAAAATTCTAAATAGTTCTTGAAAAAAAAGAGCTAAAAATGGCCCGAATTTTTCATAATTAGTAGTTACGAAGGTGTTGGATGATAGAGGATAGCGACTGGGCTGAAGGTGACCCCCTACGGGAGGGTGTGGCTGTCAACCGGGACAGGCAACACTTGAGAACACCTCAAACACTGAGGTAAATAACAGGCACGACAAAAAATTTGGGCCTTAACTAAGGAGGGTTGATGACTGGTAAAGCCAACCCAAGTGGACGTGTTTCTTACACCCCGCACTCGGCTCAACCCTCACGTTAACCACCAAGAACAAACAGAAAGCAACCAAAGTATTGATTTATTTACTAGTAAAAAATAAGCCTATTAAAAAGTGGGATTGAAGGTTGTTCAGGCTAGAGACGCCTCACAAGGTCGTCATCCCTTGGTGGGCATCAATCTTGTGCCTGCTATTCACACTCTTAAGCATCATTGCTTGTGTCACACATTATCACTGGGTAGACTATGAGCTGAAGCAATTACTATTGAGAAGAACTCGCGGGGATTGTGTCAGTCCAAGGGAGCGACACGGCCTTCATCAACGTGCAACACCCAGTAATTCACCTCTGTAAGCTCTGGCAAACTTTGGGTTGATTTTGCTAAGGAAATGTTGCTTGACTAATTATGGTGTACTAGAGAGAAGGCACTTGGCTTATGAGTAGAGGGGAAGTGCAACTATACTTTACTAAATACGATTTGCAAGGGTAACGACCAGCTCCCCAACGCTCGCCGGTACACGGCTCCTAGGGGGAGGGAGAGGCGCCCGCGGGAGCTAGTGAAGCACTAAGGGTCTGCTAAAATCCTCATTTCTAACCCATGTCTACTCGGCTACAATAGATTAGTCTACCCATGATCATGCAACCTTCTTTATACGACAACAAGGAGGAAATTGACAAGCTAAAGCCAGGTTAGGGGTGGCATGATGCAGGGTTTGACTCGTCTTGGGCCACGCTAGTGACCGCCACTTCCTTGCCAGTGGCCAAAAGAGAGAGGGACTTCGTTACACCAACTTATACACTGACCCAAAATTTGATTTTTTTTACTTTTTGTTGTCAATCTTCGTGTTAGTTACATATAAAACAAATCTTAAATTGTAAATGTGACAATACAGACAATGCGGGAACATGTTGGAGGTGGTGAGTACACTGGTGCTCCACGAGTCCTGGCAGATGTGGGGCTCAGCACTGCCGCCGGGCCGCTGAAAGAGACCTAAGAGGGTGTCTAGAGAGTTCTACAGAGGATAAGACAAGGAGTGGTGCGGTTGACGGGGCTCTACTCTAGCAAGTACCCCAGGATAGGTTTGTTCCCCCAACCCGCAACACCGCTTATCCCTTCCAACCTCGTCATTTTAGTCTTCACAAAAGGTAGAGTTCACAACTCTGGATTACTTCTGGTTATGTAGATTATTACTAGCGAGAAAGTGATGAGAGGCTCGGTCTAATTCCTGAGTCTGAACCATCTGCCTTTTATGAATGAATCCAACACAAAGATGTACTGCCTCACTCACAGTCCGCCTGCCACCTGACCTCTCACGCGCTGGTCACCATCTCTGCAGTCTGGACTCTGCTGGACTGTCTGTTGTCGGCGTCTGAGTCTATGGTAGGAAGCAGCACACACCAGGAGTCCGTGAGGGTGGCAGTAACAGTGTGTGTGTGTTAGGTACAACAGTGGCAGCTGGAGACTTTGCAGAGCCGGGTGGCTGGCAGCAACAATTCTCTCGGCGTCTTGACTGAAAAGAGTCGAGATCTCCAAAGTGTGGCTTGGTCCTCAACATTATTCACCTAGTCAGAGAACGTCGCGTCATGATGCATGTTTCAGAGACTGCGGTTAGTGTCGAGATGTATAGTTTAAGTGTACAGTACTAGTGGTAAACTTTAATTTGTACTGACTGCCGAAAGTATGCCTAAAATTTTTGATAAGCACACTACTGTACCACCTGGAGAAGGTTTTGTGCCATCGTTGGTGTTGAGCGGCAAGACGCTACAAGTCACCAGGGGTTAGTGTGCTTATCTCTCACTTTGGAACAACTTGGCAGGTTTGAAACAATACTAATTGATAAAAGGAAGTTGAGAAAAACAAATCAGATAAAAAAAAGATGATTTCTAAGGTCAATTAAACAAAAATTACGTGGAAAAGGATAATGGACAGGTCTCAAAACATGGCTGATTTTATTATACAAAAGTAGGTGAGCAGCCGACCCTGCTACCCTCTGGCCTTCCCTGGACAAACTTCACTAAAGACTAACACGCCGGCGTCAGTGGCAGCGCTCGACGTGTGGTGGGACCTGACCAACAAGACCTTGGTCCCAGTGGTCCTGTGCTGGGCTCTACATGCGTCTGATCATCTACAGGTTTTAGTGCTGGCTTTATTGACCTAATTTTAATGTGCTTTGCATAAGTATGGTGAAGCTAAGCTCAGCTTAGAGAAGATTCTTATTTAGGGGAGATTAATCTGTCATTTGTGTGTTAATACCAGTCAATGAATTTCAATTATTATATAGCAGTTAATATTTAATAAATTATATAATTAAGGGCTTTTGTGGCACCTTTAAGGAGGAGCTGCTTTATACAGGGTACCAGGTGCGGTCGTGATGACCCAGCTGGCTCATAGCCTAGCTGGCTCACTAGACAACATGTGTCCGGCGAGTCTCCGGCTCCAGGTGTCTGGTCAGGGTACAAGGTTTACCGCGCCAATGTCTCCCTCGCCTACTGCCACTGAAGAGTCGACGTGTTTGCATGCACCCCAGAAGCCAAAATTGTAATATTTTAGTGGAAGATTCAAAGCATTCTGCTGCATCAAGCAGTCCACGTGTAAAACCAGGAAAATGTGAAGGAAGATTGTTACAAAATACAGGCATATTCAGTCTTTTAAAAAGATGGCAGCGAGATGCTTCGTACTAGTAATTATACAGTGTTTTTAACAAGATTATCAGCCTCTTTTGGGGAGTGAGAGAGAATCATCAGTCATGGGGTAATGAGGAGAATCATACCTCAGGGTAATGAGGGACAATCATCCTTCAGGGTACTGAGGGAGAATCATCCCTCAAGGTACTGAAGGACAATTCACCCTCAGGGTACTGAGAAAATCAGCCCTCAGGGTATCGAGGGACAATCAGCCCACAGGGTATTGAAGGACAATCATCTATCATGGGGTATGGAGGGACAGTCATCTATCATGGGTACTGAGGGGACAATCATCCCTCATGGGTATTGAGGGACAATCACCCCTCATGGGTATTGAGGGACAATCACCCCTCATGGGTATTGAGGGACAATCACCCCTCATGGGTATTGAGGGACAATCACCCCTCATGGGTATTGAGAGACAATCATCCCTCATGGGTATTGAGAGACAATCATCCCTCATGGGTATTGAGAGACAATCACCCCTCATGGGTATTGAGAGACAATCATCCATCATGGGTATTGAGGGACAATCATCCCTCATGGGTATTGAGGGACAATCATCCATCATGGGTATTGAGAGACAATCATCCATCATGGGTATTGAGGGACAATCATCCCTCATGGGTATTGAGGGACAATCATCCATCATGGGTATTGAGGGACAATCACCCCTCATGGGGTAATAAGGTGGGGGTCTCAGAAGGGAACCAGTGGTCTTGGTACGAATGTGCAAATAATTTTGTTTCTTAAAAACATGTGCTTGAATATATAAGGTAATGGAGGTCTCGTCGGTGCTGCAAGCGGGCGGTCTACTCACGCTCCCTCTCGCGGCGGACGCCACACCTGGTGGTGCAGGGCCTCCCTGCCACCCCGGGGTGCTGCCGGGGCAGGGAGGTGGCGGCAAGCGGTACTTGGGAGGAATTAGGGAAGTGTGGTGTGGTAGGGAGGAAGGGGAATGTATAGTCAGTAAGCCAGGGCTGTGCTGAGTGGCGGCATCAGCTAGGGAGGCAAGGGTGGGGAGATCAGCAGTGAGGGCTGCGGGTGTGGCAAGCGAGCAGCCCAGCAGTCATGCAAGACATAACATGCACCACGCACTACGTTCACTCCGGAAGGCTGGCGGGTATCCCGTAATGCCTACCGGCATGACGGGCCTAGGGAAGGAGGGCCGGTAGCAGAGTCGGTACTCACCTTCTCCCGATATTGTCTCCGCGAGCTGTCCAGTGACTGTATAAGGTTGGTTGCGTGCCCCAGGAAGAGCGCATAACAGGTCGCGCCGCAGATCATTGAGAGCATCGTCAGCCACATGTCGGTCAACGACTGCGGGGGAAACCGACCATAGCCGATACACAGCATATGTGACATGGCTTTAAATAACGCCCAAGAGTATTGTTCTAACCAAAAGGATTCCTGTAAGAGAAGAGAAAGAGGAGTGTGAGTGGTTGAGGTGCAGAGACACCTACCCGCTCGCGGTATTGGCGGCGAGAGGAGTCCAGCGACTGGATGAGGTTCGTGGCGTGACCGATGAAGAGCGCATAGCAGGTGGCCCCAGAGATCATGGATATCATGGTCAGCCACAGGTCCGTCAGGTTCTGGGGGGGGAAACGCCCATATCCAATGCAGAGCATGTGCGACATGGCCTTGAAGAATGCCCACGAGTACTGCTCGAGCCAGTAGGCAGTCTGTAATGTTAAGAATTGATATAAAGGAGATGGACATGGTATGTGGCACAGATGAAATAATACACCAATTTCAAGTATTATATATGTTCAAGTCGGCTTCAGTAATTCACTAATGGTCTACCGTGTCAAATGGCATTGGTTATATCAGCTAATGGTTTGTGTCTCACCCAAGCCAAATTAATATTTTAATTCAATTATTTTTTAAGAATACTAGGAGACAATAATCAGGGCCAAGATATAGAAGGCTCACGTAGCCACTGTGCTATCACTAGATATATATTAATTAGAACTGGGGGAGATGGGGGTCAACCTGGAGAGCAGCACCGGTGCTGAAGAGCAGCAGGGACGACTGCACGCTGACTAATGGTACCGTACAGCCCCATCACATTGTGGTACCGTACAGTACCGTATAATACAATACAATGGTACCGTACAATACCATACAATGGTACCGTACAGCCCTATCACATCGTGGTACTATACAGTACCGTACAATACTTTACAATGGTATTGTACAGCCCTATCACATCGTGGTACCGTACAATACCATACAATGGTACTGTAGAGCCCTATCACATCGTGGTACCATACAGTACTATACAATACCATACAATAGTACCGTACAGCCTGCCCGAATAAGTCGTTCCAACGGTTTTATAAATTATAGGTAAAGAGAAGTAGGTTATCTTGAGGTTATTTCAGGGTTTAGCGTCCCTGCGGCCCGGTCCTCGACCAGGCTTCCTTTTTGTTACACATCCCCAGGAAGCAGCCCTTAGCAGCTGTCTAACTCCCAGGTATCTATTTACTGCTAGGTAACAGGGGCATTGGGGTGAAAGAAACATTTAGCCCATTTGTTTCCGCTTCCACCGGGGATCGAACCCGGAACCTCAGGACTCCGAATCCAAAGCGCTGTCCACCCAGCTGTCAGACGCCCAGTAGTGCATAGCTCTGTATATCTTGGAGAAGGGTAGAGGGATACCCACAATAGTCCACTGATCCTGCAGGACTGTCATTTAGAAAAACAATACAGAAGAAATACCTTTTATCTGCAATTCCTGGTCATTGATTGTTAATAAAATTCTTTGCATAAAAAGTTTACTGACAGTTTGGCTGACACAGTATGACCCTATTCTGCTTTAGAAGGTTTACAAATGATTTATCAATAAATACTGTATATTGCAAGATTATGAGAACTTATGTTGTTTTGGAAACTGGTGAGTTTTAGGTGAAAACTAACACTCGTGTAACACATGAGTACCACACACACATGTTGCTCACACCAGGGCCGTCCTAACAGCAATATAGGCCCCCTGGGCACATCGCTGTGCTGTGAATCCTGGGACAATCACTCACAGGAATAAAGAGTAAATGGTGGATAATATTAGACATATGTTTATTTTATTGACACTTCAACAAAATTGGTATTAAAACATTAAAAATATGCTGTAGAGCAGCAACCACTTAACATGATAAACATTTGAGCAACACACAAGGCCTGAAAAACACAATAATACTCAGTAAGCTACACATTAGATGGCACAGTATGAAATTACTACAAGCTTCTTATTATAACAAGCATCTGCCAATTCATCATATCTACTAAGACACACACTTCGTTTTCCTTCCCGTTTTCCCCATCACAGTAATCTGTATCTGGACACACATTCCTGGTTTTGACTTCATATGGAGTAAATTTGTTTCTAGTTTCCTGAAGACAGGTTTTCATAGACTCAAGAAGGTTCATGGCAACAAGGATGTTCACATCCTTTGATTGTAGGACCTTGTTTGTTTTGTTCATTCTTTCTAACATGTTATTCCAAAGAATTGTGAGATTGTTTCCAGGTTTCTATTTTTTTTTAGCTCAATCCTTCTGCCTCTCGCCTTGTAGTCAATGAACTTGCTGTTCATTGTCAGCTGATAGAGAATCCAGTGCATGTTTTATTTTCTAGAAACCCCCCATACAGAGCACGAACAGCATCAAAATGTGCTGACCATCGTGTGTTAGAGACACTTGATCACAAAATCTTTTCCTAAAGATAATGCCAATACATTCCAGCAATGAATAGAACCAGCAAAAAATTAATACAAATGCTGAAGAAAGTCAAAAAATTTGACAGCGTGTAGACAATACTCTGCTGCTTTTACTCCCAGCAAATTTAAGCTGTGTCCTGCACAGGGAACATAGATGACAAACTCACTGAATTGATGAATCCGTGCCAATATATCGTCCAGACATATTTTAGGCATTATCGTATGACTGACCACGGCAGTTTGATAGTGGAATTTTGATTTTCATTAAGAAAATCCATGACAGTGATTGTTAGATCCTTTGCTCCGTGAGAAAAGATGTGGATGAACATGAAGAAAAGTTCCACAGGCTCATAACCTTTAATGTATCGGACAGTAAGTGTCAGTTGATCTGTGTGAGAGATGTCTGGAGTGGAATATACACTTATTGAAAAATACTTTGGCTTTTTCCTTCTTCAAAAAGAGCCTGTTGTCCCATTAATTAAATTCCTCACAAATATTTGCAGATAGATATGACGGATTTCCTTTTCCAGGATTTCCATACATTTTGAGATGTTCTTCCAAGAAAGGGTCGGTCGGCCGAGCGGGCAGCACGCGGGACTTGTGATCCTGTGGTCCCGGGTTCGATCCCAGGCGCCGGCGAGAAACAATGGGCAGAGTTTCTTTCACCCTATGCCCCTGTTACCTAGCAGTAAATTAGGTACCTGGGTGTTAGTCAGCTGTCACGGGCTGCTTCCTGGGGGTGGAGGCCTGGTCGAGGACCGGGCCGCGGGGACACTAAAAGCCCCGAAATCATCTCAAGATAACCTCAAGATAAGGGTCAAATTCACTCAGCAGCTCTAGTACACCTAAATAGTTGCCAGTTTTTTGCGGGCCCAATAATCTGATTTTCCCCACGAAATGGCACCGCTAGAGGCAAGAAATCGAATTACAGAAACCACACTTGGCAACACTTTATGCCAATATTCCTGCTCTGAGCGATGTTTTTTTTTTTTTTTTTGAGATATATACAAGAGTTGTTACATTCTTGTAGAGCCACTAGTACGCGTAGCGTTTCGGGCAGGTCCCTGGAATACGATCCCCTGCCGCGAAGAATCGTTTTTTCATCCAAGTACACATTTTACTGTTGCGTTAAACAGAGGCTACAGTTAAGGAATTGCGCCCAGTAAATCCTCCCCGGCCAGGATACGAACCCATGACATAGCGCTCGCGGAACGCCAGGCGAGTGTCTTACCACTACACCACGGAGACATGTTGTTCTATTAATAAAGAATCAACACTTCCAGTTTATACCTTATCAAATTGCTGTCATGCGATTTCGATGTTCTTCTCTATTTTCATTTTCTACAATAACATTGCTGTGCTTCTAGTCATTGAACCCCAATATAACAAATGGAGATTCTTGGACAATAGTCGAAATACAAAGCTGTACAAATGACCTTGGAATGGTGACTAGCGTAGCCATTCATATTTTACATACTTGCCATTCTGCAGTTCACTTTTGAACACATTGATAAATACTGAACCTTGCCTTCATATTCTCTACTCCAGCTGTTTTATTCACTGCGTGAGTTTGAAAGGTTGCTATCATGATTCTGACATGATGAGTGGCCCACTACGAATCCAGTAATCTACTGTGTTAGTATCATTAATGTTCCATAGTCCCGGATCTGTCTCTTGGATTGCAAACTCCTTTACTGTTACAGATTTGGGTATTTCCTCTTATAAAATGTCACCAGTGGCAGCAACAGCCAATGATGGCATGTCTGCTGAGACTGGATTTAATTAATTTTGCCCCGAGGGGCGAGTTTATTGGGCAGCGCCACTCATCTTGTGAGTGAACATACCGCCATAGCAGAATGTACAACACTCCCCAATAGGAAGAAAACCCGCTGGGTTGTTCATCCTGTATGATTGGTAGCACGAATGGATGTAGATGTGGATGCTGTATCTAAAGGAACAGTACTAGTGGCTGACATTGCAGGAGTGGATGCTATATCTGAAGGAATGGTATGAGTGGCTGTCATTGCACCTGTACTCACCTAATTGTGCTTGCGGGGGTTGAGCTCTGGCTCTTTGGTCCCGCCTCTCAACCGTCAATCAACTGGTGTACAGATTCCTGAGCCTATTGGGCTCTATCATATCTACATTTGAAACTGTGAATGGAGTCAGCCTCCACCACATCACTTCCTAATGCATTCCATTTGCTAACTACTCTGACACTGAAAAAGTTCTTTCTAACGTCTCTGAACCTGTGTTGAACTCTGAACCTGTGTTGAACCTGTTCAACCTGTGTTGAACCACGATGTTAATTTAGGAAGTTTTCCTATTTTCTCCTTCACTGTATCTCTTCCGCTTCTGTACTCCACTCAAAACATTACGTTTAATTTCTGCTGAAAGGGCTATTCACCTGTAAATATATATATATATATATATATATATATATATATATATATATATATATATATATATATATATATATATATATATATATATATATATATATATATATATATATATATTAAATATTTAGTATTTAGTCCCACACCAGCATGTAGGGTTATATTATATAAGTGTGCTTGCAACAAAACCTAAATATTTAAACATTCTGCTTCCATAATGTTCATGTCCTATGCTCGTGGGACCCTCCCTATGCTCGTGGGGACCCCTATGCTTGTGGGGACCCCTATGCTCATGGTGTCCCTATGCTCGTGGGGACCCCTATGCTTGTGGGGCCCCTATGCTCATGGTGTCCCTATGCTCGTGGGGACCCCTATGCTTGTGGGGACCCCTATGCTCATGGTGTCCCTATGCTCGTGGGGACCCCTATGCTTGTGGGGCCCCTATGCTCATGGTGCAACCTGTCCTCTTAAAAAGAATGTCGCATTTGGCCGTTTGCCCGTATGGCCGAATATGGACGTAATTTGAAAATTAAAAAAAATGAAAATAAATTTGGGATTTTTTTTTTCAACAACAGTAAGTTAAGGGTCCTCTGATAGGTTAGGTGGGCAGGAAATTCTCATAAAGTTCCAAAACGTCATGAAAAACGTGAATTGAAAGTCATCTATTCTAACCTTACAAAGTCGGCCGGACGACTCAAACAGAAAACGGAACAGTACGTCACTTTTGTGAGTCGATTTCCTTTCAAATTACGTCCAAATTTGGCCATAGTGCGCATACGAGCCAAAAGTGACGTTATTTTTAAGAGGACGGGTTGCATGGTGTCCCTATGCTCGTGGGGACCCCTATGCTTGTGGGGCCCCTATGCTCATGGTGTCCCTATGCTCGTGGGGACCCCTATGCTTGTGGTGCCCCTATGCTCATGGTGTCCCTATGCTCGTGGGGACCCGGGCAAGTGGCCATCGGACCCCATGCAGTATGACAGCTCTGGGTCACACTGAAGATAATCACAGTTAACACTTGTTATAGCTTAATCAATCATAATACAGTTGAATGCAGATAACACAGTTCGTCAGGCAGTCACAGTGGAAATATAGCATTTGACACATGTCAATAGTCATTAAACAAATCATAGGGGTTATGAAGATGTTTCAATATGAATCTTGATGAGAGTCTACAGTCAGGAGGGAGCCATTACCTTACCCTGACGTGTGTAAGATGTTGGAACACAGGGCAAATACCATAAAACATGCTCTGAATCCCTTACACGTGGAGGGGAAGATACAGGGATGGAGGGGGTGGGGGTGGGGGGGGGGTAAAGAGGGGCGTGGAAAAGGAGAGAAGGGTCTACACGCCCCTTTCCTCCTCCCCTTCCACTACACGTGGAGGAAACAGAGGGACGTATAGAGCACACATGGAGGGAACACAGAGGGACATGTAGAGCAAACGTGGTGGGAACACAGAGGGACGTGTAGAGCACACATGGAGGGAACACAGAGGGACATGTAGAGCACACATGGAGGGAACACAGAGGGACATGTAGAGCAAACGTGGTGGGAACACAGAGGGACGTGTAGAGCACACATGGAGGGAACACAGAGGGACATGTAGAGCACACATGGAGGGAACACAGAGGGACGTGTAGAGCACACATGGAGGGAACACAGAGGGACGTGTAGAGCACACATGGAGGGAACACAGAGGGACATGTAGAGCAAACGTGGTGGGAACACAGAGGGACGTGTAGAGCAAACGTGGTGGGAACACAGAGGGACGTGTAGAGCACACATGGAGGGAACACAGAGGGACATGTAAAGCAAACGTGGTGGGAACACAGAGGGACGTGTAGAGCACACATGGAGGGAACACAGAGGGACATGTAGAGCACACATGGAGGGAACACAGAGGGACGTGTAGAGCAAACGTGGTGGGAACACAGAGGGACGTGTAGAGCACACATGGAGGGAACACAGAGGGACATGTAGAGCAAACGTGGTGGGAACACAGAGGGACGTGTAGAGCACACATGGAGGGAACACAGAGGGACATGTAGAGCAAACGTGGTGGGAACACAGAGGGACGTGTAGAGCACACATGGAGGGAACACAGAGGGACATGTAGAGCACACGTGGAGGGAACACAGAGGGACATGTAGAGCACACATGGAGGGAACACAGAGGGACATGTAGAGCACACATGGAGGGAACACAGAGGGACATGTAGAGCACACGTGGTGGGAACACAGAGGGACATGTAGAGCACACATGGTGGGAACACAGAGGGACGTGTAGAGCACACATGGAGGGAACACAAAGGAAGGCAGACTCACCTGGAGCTCGTTGATGGCTACCCAGGAGTTAGAAGGGAACCCCTGCAGCATAGGGACGAGGAACTGTAAGCATCCTGACCAGTGGCCGATCAGCAGCATCATGGAGATGAGGTTGAAGATGCGCATGAAGACGGACGCCATGTTGAGGAACTGTATGTGGGGAAAGGCGGGAGGAGGCCATTCAGGATAGCAGCTGGCACTTGTCCCTGTAGGCGAGGTGGCCCTTCAAGGTCACTCTCTGCGTGCTAGTATACCCATCATTACTCATTATACGTGTCTGCAGCACCAAGTCTTGTTACCATGAAGATACATTTATTTCGTCATTATATTACACAATTTGAGTGATGCTTTATAATGATGTTACAAACTGACGGCAAACATGACACTTCTTGCTCAAAACTTTACTTCCTAGAACTAACCTTTGATGGCTGTCTGCCTTAAATTCCGAACACTCGTGGAATCATCTTTGTGAGTTTCACAAGATGAAATTTCTCGCCTCAGGCTTAGTCAAAAGTCTCATCCAAAGTGTATTCGGAATTTAAACGAGACTCTATGACTTGCTAGATGTGTTGATTATGAGGTGTTTGTGTGTATGTGTTCCTTTCCAAGCAATGCTTTATTCTCATACCTGTGAGAAGCGAGAAGGAAATGTGAAGCATGCACATGCAGCACCACGAGTGTCCTAAACTCTTTTTCGCTCTAATATATATACCACTGAGAAAAATAACACTAGTCCATTTCATATGAACAATGCAATGAATCAGGCACGAGACTATGGTGACGTCAATGTCTCAGACCCCCCTCCCCCCGCCAATGGTCTTCCAGCGAGTGTTCAACACAGGTGTTGGGGTCCCCAGCCCCTACACACACACACACACACACACACACACACACACACACACACACACACACACACACACACACACACACACACACGCACACACACGCACACGTACGCACACGTACGTATGTACGTGTGTTTCAACACCTGTTATACCTAGCTCCATAATGTGAGGTATATATTGTGTATCTATATTATTCAGTATGATGCATGAGTCATATTACTAACACAACACACTATATATATATATATATATATATATATATATATATATATATATATATATATATATATATATATATATATATATATATATATATATATATATATATATATATATATATATAGACCACCAAACGTGTCTTAAGTGAGTCCGTGCGCAAGGCACCCTCTGGCTCTCGTGGTCAAAGCTACACAGCCTGGACATGGTCAAAGATATAAAGGAGGTCCTCTCAAAATAGCAAGGCAAAGCCCCTGTACTAAAAGAGGAGGTAGTAAACCAAGCAACCTTGGAGGAATTTGAGTTTACGAAAGATGAGGTCAAAAGGAATCTGTTGGAGCTGAATGTGACAAAGGCTGTTGGGCCTGACAGAATCTCACCATGGATACTAAATGAGGGTGCAGAAGCAGTGTGCCCCACTCTATGATGTATAACAGGTCACTGCAAACGGGAGACCTGCCAGAAAGCTGGAAGACAGCTAATGCAGTCCCAGTATACAAAAAGGGTGACAGGCAAGTGGCACTGAACTACAGGCCAGTTTCCCTAACTTGTATACCATTCAAGGTGATGGAGCAAATCGTGAGGAAAAGGCTCGTAGAACATCTGGAGAAATGGAGTTTTGTAACACATCAATAGCATGGGTTCAGGGATGGTAAATCGTGCCTCACAGGGTTAATAGAATTCTATGACCAGGCGACAAAAATTAGACAAGAAATTAGGTTAGGCCGAGTGCATTTTCCTGGACTGTCAGAAAGCCTTTGACACAGTACCACATAAAAGGCTGTTACAAAAGTTGGAGCAGCAGGCAGGAGTAAAGTGAAGGTGCTCCAGAGGATAAGGGAGTATCTAAGCAACAGGAAACACAGTAACTGTGAGGAGGGAGACATCAGAGTGGCGAGATGTCACCAGCGGAGTCCCATAGGGCTCTGTACTTGGACCCATCCTGTTTCTGATATATGTAAACGATCTTCCAGAGGGTATAGACTAATTCTTCTCAATGTTTGCTGATAATGCAAAAATTATGAAAATAATAAAAACAGATGAAGATAGACAGAGACTACAGAATGCCATGGACAAAAATTGAGGAATGGTCTAGGAAATGGCTACTAAAGTTTAACTCGGATAAATGTAAAGTAATGAAATTAAGCGAAGGGAGCAGGAGGCCGAACACATGGTACCATCTGGGAGGTAAACTCCGGCAAGAGTCAAATAAAAAGATCTGGGGGGTGGGGGCTGATATTACACCGAACCTGTCCCCAGAAGTCCACATCAAGAGGATACCATCAGCGGCATATGCTAGATTGGCCAACATAAGAATTACCTTTAGAAACTTGTGTAAGGAATCGTTCAGGACCTTGTATACCACTTATGTCAGACCAATCCCAGAATATGCAGCTCCAGCTTGGAGTCCATACCTAGTTAAACAAAATACAAAGAGAAGATTCAGAGGTATGACACCAGACTAGTCCCATAACTAAGAGATATGAGTTATGAGGAAAGGCTACGGGAGCTAAACTTCAGGTCCCTGGAAGACAAAAGAGTAAGAGGAGACATGATCACCATCTACACAATTCTCAGATAAATTGACAGGGTTACTTTGCATTGATTTCGGGGTTCAACATCCCCACAGCATGGTGGACAAAAACAAACTATTTAGCAAGGGTGTTACACACACATGGGGCCTGGTGGCTGAGTGGACAGCACTTGGGACTCATAATCCTATGGCCCGGGGATCGATCCCCGGTTACGGCGGAAACAAATGGGCAGAGTTTCTTTCACCCTGATGCTCCTGTTACCTAGTAGTAAATAACCTGGGAGTTAGACAATTATTACGGGCTGCTTCCTGATGGTTTGTGTGTGTGAAAAAAAGTTGATTGGTTGACAGTCAAGAGGCAGGACCAAAGAGCCAGAGCTCAACCCCCGCAAGCACAACTAGATGAGTACAGTCTGGTCATAGTCAAAGCTACACAGCTTGGACACGTTTAGGGTTTAGGACTACACAGAATTTGTAGTGGTCAGTGTTATGCAGTAGTCATGGTCAGTGTTACACAGTTACACAGGGACTTCGTGACAAATCGCCAACATGGGTTCAGGGAGGGTAAATCTTGCCTTACAGGCTTGATAGAATTCTACGACCAGGTGACAAAGATTAAAAAAGAAAGAGAGGGCTGGGCGGACTGCATTTTCTTGGATTGTCGGAAAGCCTTTGACACAGTACCCACATAAGAGGCTGGTACATAAGCTGGAGAGACAGGCAGGTGTAGCTAGTAAGGTGCTCCAGTGGATAAGGGAGTACCTAAGCAATAGGAAGCAGAGAGTTATGGTGAGGGGTGAGACCTCAGAGTGGCGTGAAGTCACCAGTGGAGTCCCACAGGGCTCTGTACTCAGCCCTATCTCGTTTCTGATATATGTAAATGATCTCCCGGAGGGTATAGATTCATTTCTCTCAATGTTTGCAAACGATGCCAAAATTATGAGAAGGATTAAAACAGAGGAGGGCTGCTTGAGGCTTCAAGAAGACCTAGACAAGCTGAAGGAATGGTCGAACAAATGGTTGTTAGAGTTTAATCCAAGCAAATGTAATGTAATGAAGATAGGCGTAGGGAGCAGGAGGCCAGATACTAGGTATCATCTGGAAGATGAAATTCTTCAAGAGTTAGAGAGAAAAAGAGTCTTGGGGGTTGACATCACGCCAGACCTGTTCCCTGCAGCCCATATCAAGAGGATAACATCAGCGGCATATGCCAGGTTGGCTAACATAAGAACGGCATTCAGAAACTTGTGTAAAGAATCATTCAGAAATTTGTATACCACATATGTCAGGCCAATCCTGGAGTATGCAGCCCCAGCATGGAGTCCATATCTAGTCAAGGAAGACCAAACTGGAAAAGGTTCAAAGGTTTGCCACCAGACTAGTATCCGAGCTGAGAGGTATGAGCTACGAGGAGAGACTACGGGAATTAAACCTTACTTCGCTGGATGACAGAAGAGTTAGGGGGGACATGATCACCACATTCAAGATTCTCAAGGGAATTGATAGGGTAGATAAAGACAGGCTATAACACAAGGGGCACACACACTATGGGACACAGATGGAAACTGAGTGCCCAAATGAGCCACAGAGATATTAGAAAGAACTTTTTTAGTGTCAGAGTGGTTGAGAAATGGAATGCATTAGGAAGTGATGTGGTGGAGGCTGACTCCATACACAGTTTCAAGTGTAGATATGATAGAGCCCAATAGGCTCAGGAACCTGTACACCTGTTGATTGACAGTTGAGAGGCGGGACCAAAGAGCCAGAGCTCAACCCCTGCAAGCACAATTAGGTGAGTACAGTAGTTATGGTCAATGTTACTGCGTAACATTGTTGCACAGTTGGCACTATCAATGTTGCACAATAATCATGGTCAATGTTGCAAAGTAGTTATGTGTCATGGTCAAGGTTATGCAGTAATCATGTGTCATGGTCACTGTTACACAGTGGCCACGAGTCATGGGCATGGCTACACAGTACCTAGTCATGATCAAAGTTGCACAGTGCCTGGTCATGCATTATGGTCAGTGGTACATACATAATTAAAACAACATATAGTGGTCACCGAGTTAAAAGTTAGTCAATTGGTTAAAGGTTATGTGATGGTCAAAGGTTGGCTAACTTTGAGGTACAATGACCACATACACTGGGAGGACCTGCCTGTGTGGTCACCGCCGGCAGGGACTCCAGCTCCTGGTCCTAGTGTGGGCAGGTCGACCGCCCTGGGCCCAAGGGGCGCCCTTGTGAGATTTCTACCAGTTTACTGACTGGTCCCTAAGCAGTGATCTATAGTCAGTTATACTAATCATACTGACGGTGCCTGTATAGCTGGCACCCCTGGACATGATACCTGCTTGATGGGGTTCTGGGAGTTGTTCTTCTTCCCAAGCTCGACCCGAGGTCAGGCTTGACTCGTGAGAGTTTGGTCCACCAGGATGATGCTTGGAGTGGCCCACTGGCCCACTTATCCATCACACCCTGGTTGGTCCAGTACTCCTTGAAGAAAACTGTCTAGTTTTCTCCTGAAGATGTCCACGGTTGTTCCGGCAATATTTTTTATACTCGCTGGGAGGATGTTGAACATCGGTGGACCTCTGATGTTTATACAGTGTTCTCTGATAGTGCCTACATACTGACAGTGCCTCCATGACTGGCATCCTGGACATACAAAGTCTCAACTTCTCCAAGCTCTCCACCTAAACTATATCACTATTGGTGGCTAAGAGTTATTAAGTAGTTTTGGTTAAGTTGTTTTTAGGGTTCCAGGACAAAGTGTTTGGTGGCAACACATGCGGAGACTGTCTTCTTGTCTGCCATTTTGACATAAACACACCCATATGGTGAAGTCCCTGATGAGCCCCCCCCCCAAAAAAAAGAGGAAAATGACGACACATGATCTCAATTGAGCTCCGGGATGTGCAGCGTTCTGCCTCCTGTGCTCACTATAGGAGCTTCACTACTTTCCATTACTCAAACTAGATCATTGCGCCATTCTGGAGGTAGAACAAAAACAAACTAAAGTTGATCAATTCCATGCTAGCTCAGGGACCGCTGAAGAAACTGACCATTGGAAAATTATGTCTCAAAGGAGGACATTAATTCAAAGTTGCAAATTTACCTTATGTTGTTTTTAATCTTATGAAAGAAGTCTTAGCTAATATTATGCCTCCAGTGCGTGCAACACATCGCTCAACACCTGGCCATCCCCTGTCCATGCCCAGTGACCCTTAGGAGAGAAGGGACTGAGTGAGCACGAGTGAGGCCCCAGAGTGAGCACAAGTGCAGCCCTGGAGTGAGCATGAGTGCAGCCCTGGAGTGAGCAAGAGCACGGCCCCAGAGTGAGCATGAATGGCCCTTAACCTTCTCTATCGTGGAGCTCCCGCATACACCTCCTGATGGGCCCACGTGTCACAAGCCTAAATGCAACCACGAAGGAGCAGCCATGCACCGGGCAACACTCCCCGTCTCCTTGTGCTCTCACTAGCCTCATATATCACAAGCCAAAACCAAATAAAAGAGGAAGCAGTATAAACCTGTCATGGTGGTAACAAGTTATTGTAATATCCTGAGAGTAAAACTGGCGAGAAACATTATCTGGGAAAAAAAAATGTTTTGAGAAAACAGAAAAAAAAGAATTCAAAATGAGCATTTAGCTATAGTAAGCTGGGTGCAGGGCGTGCACAGGCGGCGTCTGGGGCATGGGAGGGGGGCGCTAGTCCAGCACATGGATGGGTAACATACAACTAGGACAGACAGGCAGACGATTGACGGGACGACGGACAGGCATGGGTGGGGGGGAGGGGGGAGAGGAGGGTTAAGGTCGGTACTGTACATCCTAAGGTAAGAGGGATTAATTTACCTTAAAAAATGGAATATTGTAAACATTGTACGGCTTCCTTTTACGTCTGTTCAGGGCATCTGAGCCACCAGCCGGACTCCATCTCTCACTGTGTTTTTTGCGGCGGTTCTTAAGGATCTAGAACCGAAGAAAAAAGTAAAAGGCAAAGAGGTAAGGGCCAGGTTGAGGGGGAAGGAGAGGCAGAGTGAGAACGAACCGCTCGATAAAGGGTTGGTTGGGAGCCCCAAGTCTAGGCTCAGTCATACAAGCACAGGCCTGCCTCACACTGTTTCTATATTACCAGAACTTTTGTGCATACAATATAGTACAATAGTATAAGATGGACTCGGCCCAGATGCAAAAAGCCCTGAACCAGACAGAAAGGAGCCACAAGGCAGGGGGATGTTGTCTACGCACGCTGCATAGGGCCAGGTCGTGTCGCAGCTAGGGTCATGTCGCAGGCTAGGGTCGTGTCGCAGGCTAGGGTCGTGTTGCAGGCTAGGGGACGCCCAGCGAGCTAGACACACGACCACTGGAGGCCCTAAGCTCAGGGGTCGATAGGCTCGACACGCGTCCCTGGTGATCCCTGGCTGGGGGTCCAGAAGGCTCAACTATGCCCCTGGTGACCCCAAGCTGGGAAAGGGGTCAGAAGGCTCAACATGCATCCCCTGGTGACCCCAGGCTAGGGGGAAAGGGGTCAGAAGGATCAACATGCATCCCCTTGTGACCCCAGGCTAGGGGAGGGGAATCAGAAGGCTCGACACGCGCCCCTGGTGACCCCAACACAGACACCTTACAATCCACAAGGAAACCTCGGTGCTTAGTGATTGTAGTGATGGTGTAGTGAGTACGACAGATTGTGTGGAGCAACACCTCCACACATGTCATGGACAGATGTTATGGCAGAGTGCTGCACCACACCTGCTCAGCCCAGTACACCGGGTCTTCCTCACTCACCTGTCACCTGCCTCCAGCCGGAGCCAGAGACGTGTCACAAAATATGTAAAATTAAAAAAGTGATTACAAAACTTGCATTGCGAAGTGGTGTTGCACGATGTAAGAAAAATTACAATGACTAAATATACCTGGGGCCAGATTCACGAAGCAGTTACGCAAGCACTTAGAAACCTGTACATCTTTTCTCAGTCTTTGGCGGCATTGTTTACAATTATTAAACAGTTAATGAACTCCGAAGCACCAGGAGGCTGTTTATAACAACAATAACAACAGTTGATTGGCAAGTTTTCATGCTTGTAAACTGTTTAATAAATGTAACCAAAGCCGTCAAAGATTGAGGAAAGATGTACATGTTTGTAAGTACTTGCGTAACTGCTTCGTGAATCTAGCCATTGGTTATTAGCTCAGCTGGTGAATGATCCATAATGATTGACTTGATCTGACCCTTGACAGAGGTAGACTCATTGGGGTGTCCATGCTGAAGCTGTCGACCGCTACTGTAAACACAAGTGGTAGTGGCAGACAGCCTTAGCGTCACTGCACCCCAGAAGCATGCTCTAGTTAATGCAGCACTATGCAGCGAGCGCTTCGCCAATATCCCTCGGCTGATAGTCATCTTTTACACAACCTCGAGAGGTTAATTTTGAGAGAAAAACTAAGAAAGATTTGAGACATTGTAAGGCAAACCAGTGGCGGTAAAGAGAAGGAGGAGCACATATGAGTCCTGTTTCACATAAGCGTTAAAGAATACAAGATTAAGGTCATAACGGGAGGAAGCCAAAAGCTAGCAGTGTGAGGTGCTGGGCGCTCGCTCACACTCGCCATCACACGCAGTAAGACAAGAGAAAAAAAAGAAAAACAAAGTCATAGCGAAAAATCTCGCAGGGACAAGCAAAAGACGTTACAGGCAACGCTCTTTAATTCAGAGAAAAGGATCCATACCTTGAAAGGAGAAGCTCATGTGGAACAAGAATCACATACGTTACAAAATATCTACATATACAGGTATATATTATACAGGTCATAGTCGACTCGTGGCGCTAGACAGGCAAGGTCCTCGGTCCACAGTCACTGTTCCACACGGAGTCCAGTATGACCAAATATATCACAAGATCTACAAACAAATTAAGGAAGTGGAAGAGGAAACAATTAGTACTGAGAGTTGGGGCGTCTATACAGGGTAAGCCTGGAGGGCTGTACGGGAAGGTGTGTGCGCGTGTGCCTGCATGTGTGTGGGTGTGTGTGTGTGTGTGTGTGTGAGTGTGTGAAGAAAGCAAACTTGGTATGTAGAGGAGCTGTACAAGAAACAAAGAGAAGAGAGTGTGTGTGTGTGTGTGTGTGTGTGTGTGTGTGTGTGTGTGTGTGTGTGTGTGTGTGTGTGTGTGTGTGTGTGTGTGTGTGTGTGTGTGAGTGTGTGTGTGAGTGTGTGTGGGTGTGTGTGTGTGTGTGTGATAGGGAGAAGAAATGAAGGAGAAACAGAACCAACAATATAGAGATGAGGAGGAAGCTGGTGGAATTCAGCAGTTAACATTAGCAATTACAGTTTGAGTATACAATGCAGCAGATGTAGAGGGGTGTATGCAGGTGTAGAGGTGTATACAGCAGGTGTAGAGGGTGTATACAGCAGAAGGTGTAGAGGGTGTATGCAGCAGAAGTACATCTGAGGTAGTTTGGTGTACACCTGAGGTTGTTTGGTGTACACCTGAGGTTGAGTGTACATCTGTTTGGTGTACACCTGAGGTTGTCAGGTGTACATCTGATGTAGTCTGGTGTACACCTGAGGTTGTCGAATGAGTAGAGCTAAGGTTGTTGGGTGTAGAGCCGAGGTCATATCGCCTTTAAAGCTGAGGTTACCGAGTGTAGAGCTAAAGATATTAGGTGTAGAACTGAGTTTATCGAATGTTGAGGTGAGGTTATTGGGTGTAGATCTGAAGTTACTGATTGTAGACCTGAGATTTCTAGTGTAGAGCTGAGGTTTCCTGGTGTAGAGTTGGTTATCAGTTGTAGAGGTGAAGTTATTGGGAGTAAAGCCGAGGTTATCGGGTTTAAAGCCGAGGTTATTTGGGCGTAGAGGTTAGGTTATCTGGTGTAGAGTAGGTAAGTAATTTTCAAAAGAAGGCACCAAGCCAGAAAAGCTATGTAGCACCATCAAATGTGCGGAATAATCAGAGGGTGGTAAATATCACTGAGGATGCCAATATGAGAACAGAAGCGCATAAGGCGAACGATATAAAAAATATCCGATTCACCAAGAATTTTATTGAGGGACAAGTGACCGTGTGGGAAGGTCGGAAAGCAAGACGCATGCACGTTCTGGAAGTCCGGACATTCAACAAGGATATGCACGACTTTAAGAGATACAATGCAGTTTGGACAATAAGGGGCAGGGCAACGCTCCATTGCTTGTGAGTTAAGAGTGTATGTGCAACTTGCCAGAGCCGTTTCCCACCACCGGTTTTAGTGGTAGGAGGAAGGCCATGGGGACACACTACCCTTAAGAGCATGCAGCTTGTTACCAGTAACAGAAGACCAACAACCCTGCCAATGGACAAGGATGGAGGAACGAATAACTGGGTAAAAAGTCAGAATAAGGAATACCTTTCCGGGAGATGGGACAAGTGCGGAAAGCCTCCTTAGCAGCAGCGTCCTCACGCTCATTTAAGGACACACCAATATGGCTGGGAACCCAGCAAAACTTCAGTTTTAAATCTACTGGAGATGAGATTCAGCATTGGCTGTTTCTTAGCTACCACAGGATGGACTGGATTAAAGGACTACAAAGCCATGAGGACATTGTGAGAGTCAACTACAACAACAAAGGAGGAATGACAGCGTGAAAGCAGTTGACGAAGAGCATAGAGAAGAGCATAAAGTTCTGCTGTGAAGATGCTAGTCTCCAGAGGCAGGCGACACACACAGGTGTGGTCAGGAAACACAACAGAGCAGCCTACACCGTCTGCAGACTTTGACCCATCGGTGTAGACGGAAACAGAATGGGAGTGTGAAGAGAAGTGTTTAAGGAAAAGACGTTTCAGAACTGTAGGAGGGGTAAGAGCTTTAGTCACTTGGGTCAGTGTTTTACAAAATTTAGGAAGGGAGACCCTCCACGGGTGGCAAGGTCGGAACAACACGAGGAGAAATATTGGTAACATTAACCAAAAGATAATTTTGTAGGCAAGTCAACCATACAGAAAGAGGAAGGTGAAGGGGAACAGTGACCACAGGAGGGGTAAAAGTCAAAGCACGGCATAGGCAAGAGTGAGGGTTTTGTAAGGACTGCACAAGGTAGCGAAGACGGTAGGAATCAAGGCGGTCCTGGAGAGTCAGGACGCCGGTTTCAACATATAGGCTGAGGGTAGGAGTCGACAAAAGGCACCAAAGCTGAGGCTTAACCCAGTATGGTGCAGAGCATCAAGACAACGAAGAGTAGAAGGAGAAGCAGACGAGTAAGCAGGGCAGCCATAATCGAGTTTAGACAGAACGAGAGAGAAGTGTGTGCCTATCAGCTTCCTAAGAAGTATGATAGGTGCCCTTGACTGCCCCTCGCCCCCTCCCTATCTGGCCAGTTGTCGCTGTGAGGCGGCTTGGTGGGCGACTGCCGGAGTGTGATGCTCCTTGGGTCAATCCTCTGTCCTTTTGGAGCTTTATACTCCTGCTGCTGTCTTCACCACTTTTGCCAGATGTCTTTTCCTTTTCCTTGTTTCATTTTTCTCCCCCCCCCCCCTCTTCTTTCTAATTCTCATTTTCCGCCGACCTTTTGCCAGTCTTGATTATTCTTTCAGACTACTTCTGTTTTGATGCCCGGGTGTTTGGGGAGGCATACTCTCTCACCCATAGAACTATGGTACCCAACGTCGCGAGTAAGGGGACACTTTTATTGGCCATCCTTCTTTCGTCTGAATCTGATCTCAACAGACTGACGGTTCTTAAGGTGGCGTTTGTGGGGAGTATACTCACAACACACCCCTAGGGGGCCCCCGGCAAGACCGGCAACATGTCTCGTGTTGGGTGTCCTATCCTCTAATTGTGGCTCTGTGGTGGGTATGGGGCACAATCATGAATGAAAGTATTACCTCTCGTTTTCATGTTGCTGAATACTGTTCCTCTTACGACTTCTCAGGCTCCTGGGGTGAGCAACCAAGCCCCCGAGTCGGACTGTGTTGGAAGACCAGGCTCTGTAG